GTGGACGGCTGTGATTGTATGGATCCGACTGATGACGAAGCGGTTGGCCGTTCCCTCGTGATCATTAAAAAAAAGCACTATCCCTCCTAGTAGTGGTGTCCTCTCTCTTCTTCCGCTTCTCTTCCACCTCTCTCCCTCACTCAACGCGAACCACAGAACCCGACGCGAGGCGTGGCTCGCCGCGAGATGGTAAGCACGACCCCCTCCCCATTGCCACGTCTCCACCCTCCCCCGCCCTGCCCAGGGGTCCGCTGCATCCGCACATGTGATCCGCGCGGATCTAGCCCTGTGCTCGTGCAGGATCTGTTCGTCTCTGTCGTTTTGGATTCGCTGAGGGGTTTGCGATCGATCTGGGGAGCCCTTAGGGTTTTGGCGGGGAAGCGGGGTGTTCGTTGCGCCATTTAGCGGGGGCGTAACGGTGGATTAGTTGTAGCCGCTGCCTCGGCCCAGCCCTTTGGAATGAGGGACGCATGTGGTTTCTGCGCCATTTCTCATCAGCGGATCGTGGTATCGCCGATGGCGTATCGGTGAATTCGCAGAAGCAGCTTGGTAGGTTGCTCGCTGAACCAAGTGATCATGTTCCCTTGTTGCCATGGAGTGGTCTGCGATGAAGTGGCTGTTCCTAGGGATCGTCCCAGTGGATTGGTGGGTGATTGGGTGCTAGGCTCTGCGTTCACAGATTAGTGGATTGAAATTTCGTTAATGGAGCCGTACGTTGTTGGGTACTCTGGGTGTTCACTAGTAGCACGTGAATCAAGGTCAGTCGATGCCTTGGGATACAATTTGTTGCAAAATGCTGTGGTGAATACATTCAGTATGTCCTCCATCACCAGCATTAATGTGCATTTATCTGACAATGAAGTTATTTGCTCATCATAATGGTGATAGTCTCTGCACCTTTTATATTCTGTAACTATGGAGAATATGCTGGACATTCACTATTGCTTGAGATATTAAGCTGTTATTGTTTGAGATATATGGGTCATTGGATAAGTAGGATCCACTATACCGAAGTGAACATGTCAGAAGTATTTAACAGCTTGCCTCTGCTTTTCTGTGCAGGTGGCACTTTTACATTAGCGATGCTAGTTTGTGTCTTGTTATCTTTTGAAAATGGTGAAGCTGACAATGATAGCCCGTATAACTGACGGCCTTCCATTGGCGGAGGGGTTAGATGATGGTTGAGATCTGAAGGATGCTGACTTCTACAAGCAGCAAGCAAAACTGTTGTTCAAAAACTTATCTAAAGGCCAGCACGAATCATCAAGGCTGTCAATTCAGACTGGACCGTACTATTTCCAGTATCCTTACCCTATATGTCATCTGCAGCATTTTAGTTTCTGTTTTGCAAAGCATGTAATCTATCTGTTACTCCCTCCGTTCCGAATTACTTGTCTTGGATTTGTCTAGATACAGATGTATCTAGACTCATTTTAGTGCTAGATACATCTGTATCTAGACAAATCTAAGACAAGTAATTCGGAACGGAGGGAGTACTATTTTGTCAAAGTTTTATGTGCCAAAGGGAAAAGGAATCATGCAAGTCTATGCAGCCTAATTAGATAACTAGCTTCTACTTCCTGAATCCTCCATGTTTATGATGATCTGTGATTCCTTGTAGTTGCTTCATCAGTAGTCAAAGTCTGCAAGTCAATTTTGGGAATTTGAGTACCTGTATAAGTCTAGGACACAAATTTAAATATCAGATGCAAGAACAACTAATTTTTCATCTCCAAGCAGTTGTGTGGCATAATGAACATACTTATTTTCTGTTAGTGCTTAATTTGTAATTGAAATCACCTGGTTTGCATTAGCATTTCAAAGAGGCAAAGATAACATACTGGCATACTGCTTATGTGGGGAAAGGGTTGTTGACTTGAATAATGAATACAGAACACTTTCTTGGGCCTTTTCCCTTTTGCAGTACACCACTGTGTGCAGTGGCGGAGTGTGACAAGAAAGGAAGGAGGGGCCGAGAGAGAACGGAAAATGATCTAGACTAGTGGAGAATTTTTTGGGACAAGAAGACCGGTCGGGATTTTTTTAACAAGAAAACCAGCAGAGATTTGGGAACAGAAGAAAAGTTCACACATACAGCGAACATCCGTCGGGTGTGCAGATCGCACGCACTGCCCGGCCCCAAAGTCACGGCCCACATTGTAGCAAGGTAGCCCATAGAAGCAGCCACTTGCACTGGCCAGATCAAATAACTGGGTGACTGATCTAAATTGTATGGGCTATATACGTTATTTGTATTTTGCAATTGGAAGACCGGGCCGTGGCCCTGTGTGGTCCCCATGTAGCTCCGCAGGTGACTGTGTGCATGCTGTGTCATATATATGCACCATCTGTCTTCATGATACATTTTTTTTACATTGCATGTAGTAAGCTGCATTGTTAATTTTGCGAATAGTATATGTGGAGAAGCAAATCCTTGTCAGTAGTTTTAGCCTGTTTTCCTGGTAAAATTATCATGGCACTCTTGTTGCACCTTGATTCAACAAAACAGTTACATCATTGAGAGCCGTGTGTGCTATTTGACAATGTGTGACCGTTCTTATCCCAAGAAACTTGCGTTCCAGTATTTAGAAGATCTAAAAAATGAATTCGAGAGGGTCAATGGCAGCCAAATTGAAACTGCTGCAAGGCCATATGCTTTCATCAAATTTGGTATGGTTCTTCAATCTGATATGTACACTTTTTCACATTCAGCTTCTTATTAGCTACTGGGTGATGGCTTATATGTCTCTGTTTAGATACATTCATACAGAAAACCAGGAAACTATATTTGGATACCAGAACCCAAAGGAACCTTGCCAAGTTGAATGATGAGCTCTACGAGGTGCACCAGATTATGACTCGCAATGTTCAAGAAGTTCTTGGTGTGGGTGAAAAACTAGATCGTGAGTTTGCCACCGTCATCTATGTTTATTATATTGAATTGTTACTTCATGATGTCTTCTATATTGATGGTCGTGCAAATGATTTCTGCACATATTTACAATAGCTGGAAACTATCTGTAGGTGTTTACCAAAAAGGCACCAGTGAGTAGAGTTTCTGTTAGGTCTGCAAAGTAATTTGGTTTCAACAAACTATGTTGATTTTCCCTGGATTATAGGTTATTATTACACATGCTTTTTTTTGGAAACCCTAGTGCTTGTATAAAAGTATTATGACTGCCTTAATGCTATGTTTTCTTGGTACTCCTATTGTTCGAGACATGTTCAAGCTTTGTCTGCATGATTGAATTGGTATTATTTCTGCTTAATGTTATTGTTTGTTAACATTTCATCTTCGTGTTTTTGAACTGGCTTGCCCAGCGTTTCCCCTCTAGCATGACTTGTCGCAGCCTGTTCTAATGTATTAGCATAGTCATAGTCCTCAGTCCTCAGCCATGTCAATTAAGACAATTGCTCAAAGAAAAGTTTCTTTTGCCCTTTGCAGAGGTGAGTCAAATGTCTAGTAGGTTGACCTCTGATACGAGAATGTATGCAGACAAGGCAAAGGATCTCAATCGCCAGGTATGGTCCATTTTCTACTCCAGTATATATGTATCCAAGCAGCTAAGCCGAGTGTGAGTAATGAAACAAATGATGAATTCGTATTGGACACATAGATAAGTATGTCTGGTAGTCTTCTCGTTTCATTTGCCATATCATCATTCTTAAATGAATAGATTCTTGAGGTAGATCTACTTTCTTTGGTTTGTAAGCATCACAGGGCTCTTTTCTTCTTGGACTTTTCATTATCTTCTTTAAATTGAAGGAGTCCTGAGGTAGATCTACTTTCTTTGGTTTGTGGTATCACAGAGCCTCATTTTCTCACATTAACTATAGTTGAAGATTCCATAATTAGATATAGGCTACGTTCGCCTTATCAGTGGATTATGGTAATTTTGTTTGGCTAACAAGTTTGTACCTATTTTCCTATTTGAATAACCAACTTTTCGTATATCCGTGGCTCTCTCTTCACATCAGATTGCCAAATAACTTCTGCACATCACAGTTTTATGTAGAATAGCACATGACAGTTGAGCAGCTGCAAGCGGCATACTTCCACAAACTTTCCCTCGTGCTTTCGATTTTAGTTTGATTGGCTACTTCCAACAAATTTTGTTGTCTGTAATCCTGACTCCAAACAAATAAACAATGTGCAGTAAAAAAGTAACTTTGGTCCCGTTGTAATCTGCCACAAACTGCTCATTAGTGCTTAGTAATATTTCCGTGACTTCTGTTCGTGAAGCACACAAATTCCATTCTGTATCTTGCAGTCCTATGTGCATTAACAAAGCAGAATGGGGATCTCTAGTCAACACTGGCCACCATACTTTTTCTTATTAATCTGACGCAATTGCCACTTGTGGTTTTTCAGGCCTTGATTCGGAAGTATGCCCCTGTGGCCATTGTGATGGGGATAGTACTGATGCTCTTTTGGATCAAGAACAAGATATGGTGACCGAGTGAAGCTCGACATCCTTCACTATGACGCCGAGAATTCTATGTCAACAGATGCTTCTACAGCTTATCCCGCATCTGCCTATTCAAGCGAGATTACCTTTTTAGCCGCCTTATGTTTTTCCCAAACAAGAGGAGCAAACAGTAAACCCGTTGTGTAGTACTATTAGTATAGATCTGATCCTGATCCATGAGTTCTCCATGAAATCTTGGAGCCGAACATACCATGAACTATTCTATTAGAGGTGTAGATTCGACCGACATAGTAATTGGTCTTCTTTTTGTGAGCTCAACATGTAAGATCTGTAGTGGCAACATACCGTAAATGGAAATGATTTCGATGAAATTTGTTCAACATGCTACTGGAGAACAGGCTATGTCAAATTCATTTCCAATTTACCAAATTTGTTCGGTGAAATGTTTTGACACGGGAAATCCACATGATTCTAGCGCACGATTCTAGTTGAAATTGCCTTGTTTACTGTAAAATCCTGCCTTGATTAATTTCTTACAGTTCAACCCCCGACCCCGAACTTGGCTGCGGCTCAGCAACGGAAGCCAAGCACCCTGCCGTCGATCGGCGAGACGCCGACGCGGCACACCTTGGACGCCTGCACCCGGTGCGTCAGCACCCGCAGCACCATCACCTTGCCCTTCACCACCAGCAGCGAGTCCACCTCCATCATGGCCGCCGCGGCCGCCGGCTGCTGCGCGGTCATGTCCAGCGGCGGTGGGGTGGCCGCGGGGAAGGCCGGCACGGCGAAGCTGGTGGACCAGTGCTTGGTGCTGCCGCTGTCGATGAGGCCCGCGGGGATGTAGATGGAGCCGATCTCGCCGCCGGCGTAGGCGACGCGGAGCGAGCTGTCGAAGTGCGCGAGCGGCGCGCGGTTGGGGTTGCGCACGGAGGCCACCTGCTCGAAGGTGAAGGCCACCGTGCCGTTGGCAGCCGCAAAGGACGGCAGCCGCACCGCCGCGACGGCGATCTCGGGCGGCTGCGGCCGGAAGAGGAGGAACAGCGCCGTCGCCGCCCCGCCGGCCGCGAACAGGAGGAAGGCCGCCGCCATAAGGCAGGACGCCAGGGCGGAGGTGCGGCGCCGCGGGGGGCGCTCCGGCTCGTAGTAGTACGGGTACGGCCACGGGCTTGGCTCCGGCGGCCTGTCGGTGGTTGCGACGGGAGCCGCCGCGCCGCCCCCCGGCACGTAGTACGGCCCCGGCCGCGGCTCCGGAGGCCTAGCCACTGTGGCAACGGGGGCCTCCCGAGCCGCGCGTCCCTCCGGCGAGCCAGACAGCTGCTCCGGCGACCTGGTCACGGGGGCGACGGGAGCCTCCCGAGGAGTCTTGCGCTCCTCCGCCGCAACGTGCAGCTTCTCCGGCTGCCTGGCCACGGGGACGACGGGAGCCTCCCGAGCCGCGCGTCCCTCCGGCGCTCCCGCTGCGTAAAGCTGCTCCGGCGGCTTGGCCACGGGGACGACGGGAGCCTCCCGAGCGGCGCGGCCCTCCGGCTTCCCCGTCGGCCTGGCGACGTTGGCGAGGAGAGCCTCGTGAGACGCGCGGCCGTCCTCGGCGAGGCTCGGGCGGGGCCGCGGCTCCGGCGGCCTGGCCCTGTCGGCGACGGGAGGCCCGCGGGCCGTGGGCTCCTCCGCCGCGCGGAACGGCCTCGGCGCCTGGCCCAGGCGCTGCCGCGGAGGAGGCGGGCCGGCCATGGCAGCCTCGCGGTCCGTCGGCGGGCGCATGCGCGGCGGGAGCGGGAGGGGTGGTTGCTGCTGCGGCATCGTACTCCTCCCTCGCTAGTGGAGTGTGCGCGTGGCGCCCTCGCTCGCCCTTTGTTCGCTTGCGCCGCTTTGCGAGGGCACGGCACAATAATGCTGAACAATGTTGTTGGGTGGCATGTGCGCGCCCGAGCGGAAAGACGGGGGTGGGGACTGGGCTGGGTACTTGGGGGTAGTGTAGTGAGCTGCTGCGCGCAGTAAGTGGGAGTGGAGGTGGAGGTGCTTTTCGACTTTGGAGACTTCTCCTCCTGGATGAGATGAGATCCAGCTGCTGCTGTACGTTACCGCTCACCAGTGTTCACGCATGTGAGTGACCGACCTCTGTGTGATCTCTGGCGTGGTGTGAAACCGCCCGGAAAGTCGACGGGCGAATCTTGACCGTCCATGTCCTGGATCTCTTCTCCGTCTGGGCGCCAAGACCGAAGGGACGACGACCGCGCCAATGGACAGTACGGGAAGCTTTGCTCGGGCTAGACAGCAGCACAGGGATGAGGATGGGTTTATCTATTGGCTGCTGCTGCGCTGGTAGGTGACCAGCAGTAGGTTAATTTGATCTTCCGATTATTTTCTAGTTGCTCTCGGCTTAAGAGATACACTTTGTTGTTTCATTCATTTATTTTCCTTCTTTTTTCCTTTCGGGTAAAGCTACAAGATCTTAGCCTTTAAGCAACGTGCCCGCGCTGGTTCCGCTTTGGCTGGCTGGGCCAAAGGGAAAAAAAGTACGGCGTTTTGGCTTGCTTTCGCCGCGCAGCGAGCATGACGGGGTGATGATCATCCACGGCAGAAACTAGTGTTGGGTACACCTGTGCCTGTTAATCGAGGAACAAAGAAAAAAAAGAATTCCGTCGCCAGGACTTGAACCCGGGTCTCTCGGGTGAGAGCTGAGAGCCGAGTATCCTAACCACCTAGACTACGACGGAGCTTGTACAAAGTTTCAACCAGGGCCTATAGAACTCATAGCCAACCTCATGTCGGCCAACGGTTTCCTCTGGAGGAGTGCGCACGGATGCCAGCTGGGACTGTCAAGGGCTCCGACGCTGTGCCATGTGCATCTCACGTGCGGGCCCGAGAAGAGAGGTGGCCAGTCAGCTCCGAGCGCCCGCGGCGGGCGGGAACCACGAATTTTTGTCGAAAGAGACCACATGTCCAACAGAATTGGCAAAATAGACCCTCTCCGGATTGAATTGACAAAAAAAATCACTGTCACGGAACAAGCCTGCCGCCAGCTCCCCAAGCGGCCAGGGCCCGCCCAGAACACCGTTCCGTCGCGCCACTGTTGCACCGTAATCCGTGGCCTACCGCCTGGCGCCGTGGCGGCAGGTGCCACGTGTCGTCCGGCGCGCCTGCCGCCACGGTCCAGGGGGTCTTTTTTGTCAATTTCATTCGGGAGAGGGGGGGGGGGTCTTTTTTGTCAATTCCGTTGGACAGGTGGTCTCTTTTGACAAAAATTCTCCAACTCCTGCCATCAACGATTCTGATATTTAATTATCTTAATCCGTGTGGAGCACTGCTGGTAGGTGGCTACAGGTGGAGCGCCAGCAACGGCGGCGGCGGCGTTGGATCAGCCATGGGGGCGGCGGCGCCGAGATGGCCCTGCCTGGAAGGTGTCCCGGCATGCAGCGGGCTTCCGGCCGCCTCCGTGTGAGGGGATCGCGGCGATGCCCCGGTGGAGATGGCGCCGGAGTGAGGTTGGAGGGGCAGGCCAGATCCAATCTGGCAGCAGTCTCTCGTTGTCGATGAAGGCCGATGGAGCGGATCTGGCTTTTGCTCCGCTGGAGGATGTGGTGGCTTCTCGACGGCGATGTTGGTGGAGGTCTGGTTCGCGCTCTCTCGGCAGTGCGGGTGGTGTTGGACCACGGCTACGCGGCTTCGGCAGATTTTCTGCGGTGACGGCGGTGCGAGGCCTAAGGAACGGTGCTGTCGGTACCTCGTCGGAGTGGAGATGCACAACATTACGGATGAAAATCCTGTCCGGTTTTGGCCAGCCGGCGTCGATGGCACCCGCGGGTGTCGTTCCCCTCTCTGGAGGCGAAGTCGAGTGTGTCGCCATCTCCCTCATGCTTGGTGTTGGCAGTTGTCTCCGGGCGAAAGCCTTGGTCCTCTGGAGTGGCATGATGGCGGCGTCTGCGACGTCGTTTCTCTGTTGGGAGCATCGTGCGAGGAGACTGAGTTTCTTGTTGGCACTCCTCCGGTGTTCGTCGTGGCCCTGATCGCTCTCCTCCGGCGCTATGTATGATCATCGCGGATGAATCCAAGGAAGCTGGAGTTGCTGTTCTTCGGAGGTGTTCGGTGTCGATCAAGACGCGGCGAGGTTTTTGGTTTTGGGCAGGTTTACCCGTGTTGTAGTTGTGTTGTCGTGTGTGGCTGTCCTGAGGATAGCCGGATGTGGTGTTGTGCTACGCTCGTTTTCGCAGCGAGTGATAGATGTCATGTACTATTTTTCTCTCCTTCTATAAAGCTATGGTACGCAATTGCGTACCCTCAAAAAATTATCTTAATCCAAAATCGTATGCAAAAGTTAAAGCTAACACACAGCAGCCCGACCACGAGTAAAAGATGATGCTTGGCATCATACATTATGTATACAGGGCAGCGAACCTCGAGGCCCTAAGAATGATCAGGTTGACCTATGACAGCTCATGCTGCCACACTCCCTGACGGTATCCCTTCGAGGCATGTGAGGTTTCGGGTCCTCAAAATACCCCGTCGGCGTGTCTTCGCGTCACGTTGCCCACGAGGCTCTTCCGGCAACATGTCCTTCATACCGCGCTTGACGCCGGGGGTACACAGTTACGTGTTCGTGTGCAGACATACTTTTTGGCTACTTCGATGGGGACGAAGTTTTTAACGTTCCTTCATGATTGTTCTTTCTATGAAGAGATTGTCATCAAGGGATTGCAAATCTACTACGGAATTATGAATACACAATTCACTTATGTAGATGCAAATTATATATATGTATATATATTGTTGCTAGATCGTTTAATGAGCATAATGCATCAACTAGCCCTAGTTTTATCAATCACACATTTTACATGCAAAGAGTTGATGCAAAATATTCTCCATACTTCAAGTTCTTAGAATTTTACCAACATGAAACATATGTATCCCAACCCTCATTCATCGATAACCCCATAAATTCATATGCCGATGAACAACGTGATGAGTTCAGTTAATCAATTTGAGACACCTCATGTTAGAACTTCCAATAGCATGCAAGAAAGTGTTTCACCCATTTATTTATCGACAACTAACTTGCCATACGTGAGTCCAAACATGCCGATGGATAGGGGAGTTAGCTATAATACTACTAGATATTTGGCCAATTACCCTCAACTGTCATATGCTACGCCACATATCATTATTTTTTTGGCACCATACGCAAATGTAGATGTTTATAATTTGGCTCTGCACTTTCGCACTCATAGGCGAATAAGTGAAAATTCCACAGGAGATCACATGCCTTCACATAAGGGTTAATTATGATAGGCCTAGTTGTTGACAACATATAATGTTTTTCACACCGGTATCTATAGTTCATTGTCGAAAGAGTGTAAGGGGGTAATTCTATCTAGACTGGGTTACTGAGAAAAAGCTTATGTCTTTTTGGGATGAATGCAATATTCGTCTTGAACTAATAAAAGAGGAAAATCATGTTGATTTTGCTGCACTACTAGAATAAGGAAAACAAAGAAAGCATTGCGAGTGGATAGAAATGTTAGAGAGAATGGTGATTCAGATATAAAGTTAATTCGATTATTGAAAAGAGCTACATCGGGTAGTATATATGCCAAATCTATTAAAGAAACTAAAGTCTTGCCAATTGGTAGAACCAATGAAAATAGTGTATAAAGATGATTCAAGTGATGAAAGTACTTCAGTTAAATAAGCTGAATCAAATAATGTATATTCCGAATCCATCAAATCCAAAGAGGCAAGTATCATTGATAAAGAGCATGGAAAGCATAGAAAAACAACCGTGTTTGATTTTTCTAAAGTTGAGGGGACCTTCTTCCCACCCTATGAGTTCCATGCCATAGAAGTTGACGAGCATCAAGCACAATAACATGTGGTGTAGGATCGAAAGTATGTC